TGTTGCAACTAATTTTAGCTTATGTTGCAACATTTTGTAAATTTGAAATCAATTGCTGTACCATCTTTAGTTAAAATGATAGTAAAGGTAATTTATAACTTTGAGCAATTTAAAAATTATGGTCAAATGATCAATGCTTCATATGTTATTATAGCTGATTTCGAGGCTGATAATAAGAAATGTGATGAGATTTATAGTGGAAGTATGATTAAGCTCTTTGAGTAGAAAGTAAACAGTTTCTGCTACTTAGTTCATTAGATTAATACTGGAGATGTATGGAGTCCTTTCTTATATCGAATAGAAAATATGAAACAAGAATTTGTATAAAGGATTGATTAGGAGCTAATCAATATTAATGAAGTTTTAACTATTAAAGCTGATCGAATTGAGACTGATGAGGATATGAAAAAATTTGTTGAGACAGATAGTTGTTAAATCTGCAAAAAAAAGTTTGCTATTAATAAAGAAAAAAGTTAATCGCTTAGACAAAAGGAAAGATTTTATTAATAGAAAGATAAAAATATGGCTAAAAATGCAGACAAATATAAATCCTTAGTTACTATATTTCTTAAAATAGTAAAAGAAATTGAAGTCTTAAAACTAGAAATGATAAGGTTTGGGATCACTGTCATATTACAGGTAAGTTTCGAGGATCAGCTTACAATACCTGTAATCTTAAGCTTCAAATTATACCTTGAAAAATCCCTATTCTAATAATCTTTTATAACTTCTGGGATTATGACTCTCATTTAGTTTGTGAATTTATTGGATAATCTATCAATGCACATCAAATCAAAGTAATAGCTAAAACTTTTGAGTGTTATAAGTCTATGGAGGTAGACTAGCTTAAATATATTGATAGCATGTATTTTATGAATACTAGTCTAGCTAATTTTACAAAGAATTTGGGTGACAACCATTCTATAACAACTCAGCATTTCAAAGATTTCTCTCCTGAACAAATTTCTCTAGTATGTCATAAGAGAGCTTGTTCTTATGAGTATATTGATTCTCATAATAGATTCTTAGAAACAGAACTTCTGACTATTCATGAATTTCATGGTCAACTTAGTAGAAAAATTACTTAAGAAAATTATTTTCACGCTCATAAAGTGTAAAAGGAATTGAATGAAAGAATTTAGATGAGTATCATAATCTCTATCTTAAGACTGATATACTTGGCCTTGCAGATATCTGGACTATACATGAAGTTGAAATAGATTATTTTAGATATCTGAAATGGTCAAAATGGTCAAAATCATTTTTTGTTTTTTTTATCGATATAATACTGCTAATAACTTTATTTAATTTTTATAAGTAGTAAATACAAAAGTAGAAACAAAAAACTAATTTTAAAATACTAGCTATCCCCTGTAGTTATATTATAAACCTATTGAAATTGACCTATCATTGTCTTTTCCTTCCAAAAGATCCACTAAATACATATTTAATGACTACTGTTATCATCAGAAAAAAAAAAAGTCAGTGCCTATCTAAAAATCTGTCTAAGAGTTACCATATTTATTGGCTTTATGAATCCATAATTTTCAAATTAGGGATGAAGGTTTTTTAAGAGAATGTGATAAATGTTTGCAGGCATCTTGCTTGCGTTTAATTTGTTTATTAATACTTTTTAAAAGTTCATAAGCAATAAAAAGTTTGTATCTATATTTCCATACATTATCATATAGATTTTTAAAAAAGAAGATTAAGGAATTCACAATAATTGTATAGCAATTATTCTTATTCTTTGTAATTTTATGAATAAGTAAAATAAATTTACTGGAAAGTTGACATCAAATAACATTAAGGAATCTATCAGTTAAGGAGGAAGGGATGCAAAGAGTTTATCAACGAAATAAAGTAGTTTAGGTAAAGTGTCATAATATGAGTTAGGGTTAGAATGTTTTTTTCAAATCAGTTAATAAAAGATCTTTGATTTGTGAGATGATATTTTTGATAAGTGTGAAGTAGGCTGAGCAAGACCACATATAAGTAGAAGTTTTAGTGGTAATATTGCAACCAGTTGAAATCATTTTGATTATTAAAGGTGAAAAGTCAAAATAGTCAAAATGACATCATATCACATGATTTTTTATATATAGAAAAAATTAAAAAAACAAAAGACATATGATCTTGATTAATATCGCTCCAATTTGTATGATACAACTATCATTCGTTCTCTGTGACTAGACGAATCTAATGAGCTAATATTTATTAATTTCAGATTATCCAATCTCAAGATAATCGCAATTGTATTATCAGCTGAAATTATGAATCAATAAATCTACTTTAAATAAAGGAGTCCCAGATTTCAAAATTCGATCGCAAATATCTCGAGACAGGCTGATCCAAATTAAAAAAAAACTCTTTCTCCAAACGTCCAATTTACTAAAAAAGATTGACAAAAAAGAAAAATTATGCTAGTTACTAAAACGACTTTTTTTAAACTACAAACAAAAAATACTTACCAACGAAATAAACGAAATATCACAGTTAACAACTCCAATGCTTCAAGCTCTTCTTCAAAAACAACCGAAACAAACAAAAAAAATATTTTTCAAAAAAACAAAAAACTTTTATACCTCCAAATGAAGATAATATCAACCTAGAAATTGAAAATATTATTATAAACGTTATATTGACTAATAACAAAGAACCTTTATTTGAACAAAAAACTGACAACAATTTTCCCTATATCGAAGTGCCCTTGGAAATGGATATCAATACTACTTCTACAAATACTCCTCTCCAAACTTCCCTTCTAAAATAAACTGCTAACGACTCTATTCATGCCCAACCTAAAAGTAACAACATGTTTAAAGATACAGGTTTCGATTACATACTTCTTCCCGTTAACAAAAAGAAACAAAAACAATCTTTGTCTGAAGAACTCAAATAAAATGAAGGGTCACATGACCAAGAAAATCAAGGGCTTCATATAACATCATCACTGCTCCTACGCATTTTTTCGTGATAGACAACGCGTCAGACATAAAAGGCAAACCCATAGCTGATAAACACACGTTTATTAATTCTTTATTCATACGATTCAATTGTTATCAAGGCTCTACCTACATTTTCAATTTAGAAAATTTTCAGTCTATTTCCAATTAATAGAGGATCTAACATATGCTATCACAAAAGTACAAGAAACACAATATAATCCTATATTTACTATTGCTGATCCTGCAGCAAAAAAACTCAAACAAGATGCCGAAAAGGGAAGGATCCTTAAAGTTTCAGATATCCCCTTATTTGTCAAATCCGATGTACTATGAAATTTTTTCTCCAGATATGAAGCGATCACTAGATTCTTCATGATTGTCTAAGGCCTCTGGCAGATTGCATTCATTGTTTTTAAAAATGCTAACATCATCAAACCCTTTTATAATGACCTTTGGTATATTAAATTTCTTGAAACTGCACTTAGAATAGAACCAACTGATCTCGATCTCATGCAAATCGCTTTAAGATAACAATTTGAATTAAAAATAACTGGTCTTCCTTTCAATACTGATCAATAACAATTAGGAGATTTTCTTGCACAGATCAAAGCCCGAACGTGCTTTATTCTACATGATCAACAATATAGACTTAGACCCTACACTTTTATTAATTTCGCATCACTAGAAGACCTTGATGCTGCGACAGCGCAGTTTCAGAAATTCAAAGGAAAAACACAATACTGGATGGAACCATTGAACAAATATGTGGTGCTCCTAGCCATGAATTCAAAGATTGTATTAACCGCAAACTAGTAAATTCTTATAGACTGTTCTACAATCATTTCAAACCAGAGCCTTACCATCTATCACGTAACAATACCTATAATAATTTCAAAGGTATTACGCCATATATCAATGCTCTCAAAAATACTCCTCCAAAAATGATGACAAATAACCTTTCATAGTTACCCCTAACCTTATTGATGCGCTGAAAATATTTCAGGAAAGACTGGATAATATTGAAAATAAACTTCTCTTGATCAGCGATAAAATTGTTTTCATAAAAATGATATAATGAAATATCAACAAAATGAAGATAACATTAGTTTTAGACTTAATCATCTCGAATGTATACACAATATCGAATATAATGTCAAACATATTACTGATCCAAACTACACTTTTCCTTCACATAACTAATACTTTATATTCAAAGACACTACTTCTCTACTGACTCAAGAAAATCAAACACCTATCATTTCTAACGAATCATCTTTTCCCAATACAAATTCCTCAATTAATCTTCAAAGAATTAGTGTTGTTAAATCGTCCTTTAACGAAATTAAGAACGAAATGAAAAAATTTATTGCTACTATTAGCCCAATTATTCAAGCGAGTAATATTTCTCAATGAGTGTATACCCCTAAACAAAAAATTTTAATGGAACATCTTCTATGAATCATACAAATATTAATAATATAATAAACACAAATTTTTTCTCTATCATTAATAATCACAATTTACTTTCAATCGCTACATACAACGTCCAAAGCTGTGTTTCCTCAAATAGACTTCAACAAATTAAACAATTTTTTATTAATTTCAATCTCAATATTCTAGACCTCAGTGAAACTCATCTTACATATTTGCAAGCTAGATCCCTCAATAATAATCTTCATGATAAGCCTTACAAATTTTTCTTTCACAGCTCAAATTATTTTCAAAATTGTCAAGGGGTTAGACTTTTGATTAGAAATAATCTTTGTTCACACCTTTTCAATCAAGGCTCTTATTTCGACTGAATTTTATACTTAGACTTTCAATTTAAGAACAAATTTAAGTTACGCATTATTCAAGTCTATCTTCTTGCAAGTTATCACGACTAAAGATAATACAGCAATTAATTTCAAATTTACAAATGTTGCAACATAAGCTAAAATTAGTTGCAACATATGTTGCAACATTATAAGTTGCAACATATATAGGTCAAAACTAATTGCAACATAAGTTGCAATATTAAAAGTTGCAACGTATTAATTACAGTTCCCATCTTTAGTCTTGATTATATATAAAGTCAAAATGTATTATTTTGATTATTTGAATAGTCATGATTGAATATTTTAATTTTGAGAAGTTCTAAAAGTTGAATAGTCATAATGACATCATATCATATGATTTTTCATAATCAGAAAAAACAAAAAAGTGCAATATCAGTCAATATCACTTTATTCTTATAAAACAACTATTATTCAGTTTTTTTTTGATTAGATGGATCCAATAAGCTATATTACATTGATTTCTAATTAGCCAATTTTGAGATAATCATAATTGAATTATCAGCTAAAATTATAATTCAATAAAATCTACTTTAAATAAAGGAAGGATTTGAATTAATTTTGATATAAAATTAATGATGGTTAGTTCATTGGATCTATCTAGTCACAAGAAATTAAATAGTTATTTTTTTTTATTAGACTTTATTCAGGATTTGGAACCAGTATAACACCTTACAATCTGTACACTAGTAATTCAAAAGAAACGTCCAGAGATTCTAAAAGTAACTCTTTAGACTGATGTGTCTTATTACAATACCATTACCCCTGTACTTCTATTTTAAAGCTATTTAAAGTACACAAAATCCCATCCAACTTAGTCAAACCTTATTAAGATCCTCTGCTGGTTCATCTATAAGCACTAACTCAGTAACTAGGCATATTGAATGTTCAGTTGTATTACTGGATAAAGGAATCATTCTGTCATAGTGTTAGTTCATATTAATTTTATCAGAGGATTGGTTATTAATAGTGTTCCGCACAGATCTGATCGGATTGAATTTGAGTAAAATCAGATTTGATCTGAATCTGAAAAATCTGAATCTGACAAATCTAAATCTGAATCTATATTTAAATCTGACAAATCTAAATCCGTATCCGTATTTGACGAATCAAAATTTTTTTTAAAAAAAATTCTGTCTCCACTGTTCAGAACGGCGTTTTAATGTTAAAAAAATAATAATTTTGTTTTTTTAACAAAAATCCGCCTTTGACATTCAGATCAGCATTTATTATTAAAAATTAATTTTTTAATAATAAATGCTGCGTCTGACTTTTAAAACGGCATTTTTATATAAAAAATTAATA